CTCTGCTAATTCCTACAGCTTCCAGAAATGTCTCAGATAGAAGCTGGGACTCGTGATTTCACAGGCACAATGTAGCTATGCAAAGTGTGAGCTTTCTATTGAGATGTACTTAAGGGAAAGAAAACCTCATTCAATATCAAGAAGCTCTAGCTAGGGCATCAATTTGCAGAGAACTTCCACTTCCACTGTCTTGCATGGCCTTCACACCAGCCCTGGGGGATACTTAAGGTACGGATTTCTATCCTGGCTGGCCTCACAAGACACTAAACTGATCTTCAGCGAGGGAACTTGTATTTTTCAAAATAATTCATCCTGTAAGTAGTCAAACTAAGTGGAACCCAGGACCAAACTTATGCCTTTTCTTCCTTCTTCCTCCTGCAGCCAACCAGTTAGTCTGTCAGTTCTTCCATAGGAGCATGTACTAACTTACTCATGCTTTTGTCATGTGGTACAGTCTTGATCCTCACTGTCACCCATGACAAAAACAAAGGACTGTACTCATCTATTACATCAAGAATCTTTTTATTGTTTATCTCCAGAATCTACTATAGGTCATATGCTTTTCTACAGGCTGGGATATGCACAAATGATACTCAAAACTATTAACAAATAATATGGCATAAACACCAGCCATAAATTAGAGCTAGCAATAAATAGATCTGCCAATAAGCAGATGACAAGGCCAGTGCCCACCCTCAGGTGTCCCCGGGCTAGCAGGGCAAACAGCAGGGGTAATACTATGTGCAATGTACTAAAAGTGAAAAATGGTAATGTGGATGAACACAGAAATGCGGCCCTTCGCAAAACTTTCTTGTCAGCAGTACCATGAAGCAAGTCTTGAAAAAAATGGTTATTTGTCATCTGAATAAGATATTGCTCATTCCATGAAATTGAATTTGCACAGGTTCACAGGCTTCTAACTTATTTCTTTTATTTTTTACTGTAAAAATTTTGAACCTCTAAACTCTTTAAAAACTGGTCATTTGGGTCAAGGCATGATGGCGCATCTTTATAATCCAGCACTCAGAAGACAGAAGTGGGTGGATTGTGAGCTTGAAGCCAGGCTAAACTATACAGCAAGCCAAAGATAGCCTGAGCTACATAGTAAGATCCTGACTCAAAAAATGAGAAAAAAATGCTTATCTGATAACTGGTATACAGAGGGCCAGAGAGCTGAGGGATTTGCCTAAAGTCATACAATAAATTGATGTAGCACCAGGACTTGAACCCATTCCCAGCCTACTTCTTTTCTACTCTGCTGTGCTGGCCAAATAATTAAATGTCTTGGCTGGGGGTGCCGCTGACCTACTCTATTCTATGTGGTAAGGAAGCTCCCTCTGTCCTACTTCTCCTTCACTGAAGTCATTTTGCCCTTTGCTGTCTATAGAAAAGTGAGAAGAGATGGAAAAGAAGAGCACACAACAAAGACCTGCAGACAATCTGAGAAACCCTGACTCCAAGCCAACATGTTTAGTTGAATGACTGACAAGTGTTAGATCCGAGCTCCTTCACTGCTTTGGGAGAGATTTCTGGAAACTACGGAGTCACATGGGACTTTGGATGCATGTTCACACACTAAATAAATCCCAAGAAGAGGAAGAAGTAGGAGTAGTGAAGGAGTGCATAATTAGAGCAGGCAGTGGGCAATGCCATCAGAAAGTGAACATTTGGCTTCCTCAGAAAGAATAGTCCCAGCTATCTCTCCTCATTGTCTGGCCTGCGTGGGAAAAAATGTATTACACTTAACAGACCTCTAGGAAATGAGAATGATTTCACCTGACACAAACCTCTACTTTCTCTCTGGCCTCCAAATTGTAATCACCACCAACAACTCATGAATAAGAACTGCAAACAAGCAACAACAAAATCAGTCCTTGGCTGGGAGCTCTGTGAAGAGGTGGTGTTTACAAGTATTCATTCTGCCTTCTCACATGGAAAACAAGTGCTTACAGTACTAACAAGGATACAACTGTGCTAAATCCAGACGCCAAAATGTGTGTGACTCCCTCTGCTAAACAAGAGGGTGAATGGTCACTAATTTCCACAAACATCTTCTGCCCTACTGTCTGCTGGGAGTTCGGTGCTCATTTCTGACCATGATGACCACCTGTATCACAGTAGCCATAGTGGCGTAGGATAAGTCAGTTCTCTTCCCTGGAGCCCATTTCCTCATCTGTGTAATGAATGTGTTGGGCATGATAATCTGGGTTCCTCCTGCAGTTATATGGATGAAGCAGGAAAAAATTAATTCTACAGCACAGCACATCAAACATTCATTTGTTCATTATTTCATCCCTTCAACATTTCCTGAACTTGTAGAATGCTCAAGGCTCTGTTCTAGGCATAGAAAAAGCAGCTGTGATCCATGGCTGCAGAAAATCTACAGTCTTAGAGAAAAATCTACACCTACACATGCGTAATTATACCCATAGAAGTAATGAATGCCATAAGAGTTAGGAAATGTGCATGCAAAGTTTGGTTTTGGGGGGCTGGGGATTTAGCTCAGCGGCAAAGCGCCTTCCTGGCAAGCGCAAGGTCGTGAGTTCGGTTCCCGGTACCGGAGAAAAACCAAAAAAAAAAAAAAAAAAGTTTGGTTTTGGAAGAAATCTAAGAAGCTCCATGGTGAAGTTGGATGAGAACAGGATGATAGATTGAAGTGAAAAGACAGAAGTGAGAATTCTAAGTAGCGCAGAGCATAAGCAAAGACTCAGGTACTAGAGAACACATGTTGTATACAGATCCACTTTTGTATAACAGAGGCTACAAAAGAGTCCAGGGATAGAAAATAAGTCCTTGTCTGGGCACTCCTTACTCAAATGCCAAGGTGTGACTTAACGTGTCATGTGGCTTTTGGAGAAAACTTCTTTTACAAGTAGTCCCTTCTAAAGATGCACAAATAAAGCTAGTCATTCCTTCCTGATGTTATAATAATGTACTCTATGATAGCTGTTTAATTAATATATAGTAATAGTCTTTATGTCAACAACACTAGGCCATTTCTTGACCTGAAGACCAATGGTTATAGTTGTTTTCCACAGCTTGTTAAGCCACTTTCTATAACTACATATCAATGGCTGTAGAACATCAACAGGACTGGGATAAGGTTCAGTTTGGGGACATTCCCAGATGAAGGTATATTTATCATCCAGTTTTCTAGCATGCTATCTTATCTTATTTAAACACATACACATAATTATATGTGTATATAGAGATACTATGCATTTGATGTAAATATAGTTTGAATGCCATATGACATGTACGTTACTCTTAATATTTTATTTGCTAACCCAGAGATGAGTTTGGTAGATTTACCAAAGCAAGAGGCATGGGAGATTTCACTATGGGTTGAAAGACACAACCTTGCACTACTGAAATACACCTCGGTTAAAACACAGTGTTGAACCGTTCTAAGACAACTAATGTTTAAGTCATCCAAAATGGTTTAAAAGTTCAAATGAGCTGTTTTATGACATGACTATTTATGAACTTTCTTGTTATCTGGGAGGATCAGTTGAGCAGAGATTTTTAGAACTCCAGAGTCAGAGCTACCATCGGGATGATATAAATTTGTCTTGATGTTTTTTAGATGGGAACACTGAGGCCCTCAACAATGAATACTATGCAACCTACATTTCGCATTAAAAGTAGGTCATTTTTAAACCTCTATGATTAGTAGTCAATAAAAAAATCAAAGATTCCTTGTAATTATTCTACAGAACAAAAACCACTTGCCATATTCTAATAGGGCAATGATTTCTGTACAAATGGCATATCAACTTAATAGGGCTTAAACTATCATTTAAATAACATCATGCACTCTTCCTGGACAATAACATGTCATAGGAAAAACGATGGAGATAGGTGTGATTCAAATGCTTCCCACACGGACTCCCTTGGTGAAATGACATTAGTTCTCTAAATATCAGTTTCTTCCTCTGTTAAAAGGAGACACTTGCACCTACCCGCTTAGTATTGCAAGGATATAATGATACAGATCTTACAAAGTACCTTGTGCAGGGCTTGACAAAGACTTAATAAAGGAGGGTTAGCTCAGTGCTGGCTGCAGGTTGCCTGGTGCTTCCTTTCCCTGCTCTGTCTCATACCAGCCGCTGCCACAAGCCCAGGAGTCCTTCCAGCATGGGTGGCTGCTACTTCCCCCTCCTTCCAGTGCCCCCACATGCCCTGGGGACACTCAATGCATGCTAACCACCAAACCAGCTGATGACTCAGAGTTTGGATACAATCCACAGCAGGCTGCAGCTCAAAGGCACGGCTCCTAGCTCCTGGATTAAGTTACTACTTTTTTATTATCACTTTTCTTTAAAGAAAAGGCTGCACTAGACCTGCTAGGGAAGTGCAGGGACCCTTCCCCAGGAGATCCAGCTGAGAAAAAGGCACCTGATACAGGGCATGAACAAGCCCAAAGCCGCTCCCTGAACGACTCTGGGATAAGGATTCCTCCAGGCAGCGAGTCAGGGCTGGCTCCCACTTAAGAAAGGGGAACTCATCTGAGCTCCTGGAGCGATACCCACCTGTTGGGAATAATCCTGGGTTATCTCTCTGCTGGCCAGAGAAACGTGAACCGCCTAGGGCCTTGACAGCCTTTATCTCCTCTTTCCAGGAACTGGCTCAGCCCTTGTGCTTTCTCCGAGGTGCCCCTGAGCAGCTGCTGCCCAGAGCCCCGGCGAGCTCGGGTCGCGTTTCCAGCCCGCTGGGGTAGAGGAGTGAAGCCAGGATCTTGCCCCCCACCCCCACCCCCACCCCGCGCTTCTGTTTCACAATTAGAAAGTCCGTTAGGGAAGCAACACAAAAGTCGCACTTCACTAGCAGCTACTCGGTTGGAGGGCGGAGGAAGCGGGAATTCCTACTTTCGCCATAAATTGTATGCAAATAGGTTCGTTTCCCTGGCCCTGAGCCTGGAGTGACTGCGTCTCGCATGAGCTAACCCTGTTCCGCTGGGAGGGCTGTTCCTTTAATTCACCAACTGCAAAAGTGGGGAAGGATGTCTGGAGGCGAGGCGTCCCATTACAGAGCAAGGAGCTCGCTATATAAGCCAGTCAAAGCTGGCTGCTCTGGCCACAGCCTGCCTACTGTCACACGCTCTCCAGCGCGCAGACACACGCGCTCACCTCCCGGCTACACAAAGACAGCTAGGCTGAGGACGCCGGACCGCGCACGTGGGAACCGCTGCTGCTCGCCAGGTCCGCGCTCCGGGGAGCCTGTGAGCACAGGTCCTGGGTCTTCCCAACCAGGGACAGGTAAGTCTCTTTTTCCCCCATCACCAAAATCATTATGATGTGCTATGTATTGTGGGTAGTCCTGGTACCAAATGGGTTGTGTTTCACCGTTGTAGAACTTAGGCTTTCTTTCATTGCTGGCCTAAATGGGTGATCAGTTGATTACAAATCCTGTGTGTGCACCTTGACTGTTCTTTCTCTGCTTGCCCTCCTCTGGTCCTCTATTTCTTTCTGTTTGTTCTGGCGCTATGAATAATCACACTGGAAGGGACTTCTAGTAAAGTTTTTGTCTCTTTCTTTGGAACGTTCTCGAAAGCCACTGCCTGGTTGATTCACCTGTGGATTTTTTTTGTCTTTGAGTGCTGAGGAAGTTTAGTTGAAAGTGGAGTTTTCTCACTTCGGGATGGGTTAAGGGGAGATTCTTAGGGGATTGTGTGTAGAACACAAAATTTGACATCAAAACGGCCGTGACAATTTATAGTTTTGTACCATGCCCTCATTTGACTCTTACAATATCCTCCTTGTGGAAAAAGATGTGTTTTGCGGGAGAAGTAGAGGATAAGAGGTGAGGCTAGAGCCAGATGTCTACCAAATGGAAGTGGTGGGTGCTTCCTTCCGTTCTTCCAGGCAGAGAGTATCCTAGAGAAGTATCCTGAATACATCCTTATTCACTGAGCCTCAGGTAGGACCCATGCATGTTTGCGGTGCTTAGAACTAGCAGTATCTCTCCAGAATCACCTCTCAGGTATATCTCTAGACTCACCTCTCCCCACTCAGACTCTGGAGAACACTTTGCTCCGCTTGTGGAAAAGCCATCTCCTCTGATAGACTTTTGGAAAGAATGTGGGGTTCCTCTAGCCCTTCAGTAGTAGGGCATAAAGACATCCCCTACCACTTCAGTATTTCCACTACCACACACATATGTCCAAGAGAAATTTGTAACTTTGGGGGGCCTCAGTTTCTATTTCTCTAAAGTGGGACAGAAACTTACATTGTAATGAAGAGAAAATGAAGCTTCAGGAGATTGTCAGTGAGTGTTCAGTAACTGGAAGTTTGGATAATCATTGCCATTGCCAAAAACTGCCATCACCCTGGAAGTTAAAAAAGGCATTTAGCCAATCTTGGATTCTTTCTTGTGCGTTCCTCAGCCCCCAGCCCAGCTCCTGGCCTTTTTATCTCACCCAGTCTAAGTGTCTGGCTAGGCTGGCAAGTCAGAGACTTGGCTGTATTTTACAAGCAGGAGGTTGTGTTGGCACAAGTTGGGAGAGAAGGTAGCAGCCTGGGGCTGGATGTAAATGTCGAATTCTGATTACAGAATGTCATGAGGTTTTGAGTTTAAGCATTTGAGGATTCTAAAGCTTCTGGCTGTAAAGTACAGCATGCTGCTGGGGATTCTTTGGAAATGCTTTTCATCCAGAGGGAGAGTGGGACAGAGAGCCCGTTGGAAGAATGAATGCCTCTTTTTCATGTTCTTGTGGACCTTTTTTTTTTCCCTCTTTTTTATAGAGCTTTCCCATATGTGCTTTAGAAATGAAAACCGTTGCCCACCACAGCCAATTTCCCGCCTTATCCTGAGACATGACAAGCCAAGTTCATGGTGAGGGAAAAGTTGGTTCAATCTTAAATAGACTAGTGGAAGTTTTGCTGGCATGGTGTGTGTGCATGTAACTTTTCAGGTTACAAGTTAATGCGCCTTGGCTCTGTACACTCCAGGAAAGTAACTGCATTTAAGGAATGAAAGGGAAGCAAAATATGATTATTCTCTGGTTTGTTTGAACAGTGTGAATTGGATGAGGATGGAAAAAGATGTTGCCAAGCTCTGCAATTATTTTTTATCTCTATGCTTCTGTCTAAACACCTAGCTTCCCTATCTCCTGTCTCAAGAATCCCTCCCTCGGGAGGTTACTAACTACCTAGTGCTTGGCTGCCTCATTCCCTTAAAGAAGGTGACAATCAGCATTGCATAGGGATCTGGAGACATTCACCTGAGACAATATGACAAGGTCTTAGCACAGTACCTTGCACATAGGGTTCAATAATGGAAGCTTATCTTAGTTTTTCTGCTTCTCAATTTACAAGGACTAGTTCAACATTAGTGCGCTGAGCCAATGATTTTTAAATTTATGTTTAACCATAGAAGTAGTCATTCAGTGAATTTGGGGCAAAACCTCAGCATTTGACAGGAAAGTGTGAGGTTACTTTGGTTGAAATGTGGTAAGAAACTCTAAACCTCATCCTGGGATGAGGGCTATGTCGCTCTCGGGTGTCTTCCCTGGATTCTGACCAACAAAAAGCACAACCACAAATCTCACAAACAGCAATGTACGTTCACGCTGCAACTGTGCAGTTAACGAGGAATTTGTCCTCTGAGAAGTCTGTAACAGGAAAGAGAACAATTGCCCATGTAGACGCGAATGGGGTAAACATTTAACGAAGGCTAATTATTTTAATGCTAGCCAGAGCCAATATCTATGATGAACCTACTCTCTAAGCTATGATCACCTGTGATCTTCGTCTCACTAAACATCCACACCACATTTCTGAGCCATGCATTGTACCTATAGAGAAAGGGGACAGTTTGTAGAGCAAGGAGATTGAGTCCCTAGTCCAGGCTCTTAACACATAGTTATGCGACTGAGTTTCAGGCTCGGGTCTCTATGATCACCAAATCAGAGGCACATTCCTGTGTTCACTCTGAATGCTCCTGCTTCTCCCATCGCCTTCAGAAGGAAAACACTTCCTTTCTGACTAAATATCCCCTCCAGCCAGGCTGTGGCCACCCATAAATACAGCAGTAGCCTGATCATATAACCAGAATGGAATTTGGAAAGGGAATTCAAGCTGACAGAATAAAAAATACACCCCGCTTAAACCTACCCTTTCTAATGCTTAAAATGAACTAAGAACACCTCTGTTTCTCTCTCTGTGGATTCCTGTGGACATACAGCCATGCTTCTTTTGCATGCGCCCTGCCAACGTGAGCAATCACCATGCTTTTCTCTAGGAAAAAATACCCAGTTCATACAAAGCATAGCCTTCCATTCTAAAACCACTTCAATTTGAATCGTAGAGAGTAGGTTCCAAATATTGAATTGGCTTTAAATGCACAATCCCTTTGTGGTAATAAAACATGCACACAAAAATAATTCATAGGAAAGGCTGATGATGTAACACATATGTGATGAGGATTTTTGTCTATGGTGTCTCAACTAATTCTCAACCAGTGTAAGTCATGAAGTTCTAAGGCTCAAGAACATTAAGTGACTCAGTTGGCATCTAAGTGAGTAGAAGAGCTGGCCTTGAACCATGCAATCTAACTAAACCCTACTGTGCTGTCTGCTCCCCTGCATTGCCTCCTGAAGTCAGGCTCTGCTAAGCAAGTACAGAACCTTAGATGGTATCCTTCAGTGAATAGCCATGATGGTATAGAAACCCCCAGCTGGCACTGGTGTCTATTCAGTCCACAGAATAGCTGTGCACATATCACTTTTCATGGTGCTCAGAAGAGGTCAGCTCATGGGAGTGCAACTCTGCCTGGAAACAGAAGAGTTCAAATTTCAACCCTGGGAGAGCAGAGAATGAAGCTAGTGGTAGCAGTCAGACCCTCCCCACTGATTTCCATCCCAGAAAAGTATGCGCATGCTTCTCTCTGCTATGCAGGTGATTGTGGGAGCAAGATGTACCTTCTGAGATCCAGGAGAGCTAAGCATCCCATTCTAGAAAAGCTAATTGGGAGAAGCGGTGAAAACTGTTTGCCCAGTCTCGGGAAAGTGAATCCTAGGACACCCTGAAAACGGTTGTGAGATTCAGGCAACACATTCAGCCAAAACCTCAGAGAGGAAGATTATGATTCAAACACCTCTCATTCTGAGAAGATGGCTGGGAATTCCCTTGAATGTAATACTGGACCAGTTCAGACACCTTTAACATGTGGGAAACATTAGATGAAGGCCACCTTCCAAGCAGGAAAACCCCTCAGAGTGTATGGGATGAGCCCCTGGCAGACTCCAGGTGATAATTCTGCTTATCACAAGACAGCAGTGGCTGCCCTGCCATAAAAGGCTGTGCATGCTTTTTGACTTCTTTGTAGAGAAACAAAGTCTGTATTTAGATCTGACTTTGACCTGGGTGACCAGACAAGTTTTCCATTTATACCCTAAGCCTTGAAGTCTTTGTTCTGTTTTCTTCCCTTTGCCTCATTATTTTCTCACCATTAACAACCTAATGTTCAACATTATCATCACTCTCTTTGACCCTCCATCATGGAACAAAAGCAAAATGCTGACACTAAAAACAAGTCGCGAATGGAAAATACCTTCCATGTATATTTTTGGCCTATTCATGGGTGGAAATTTTTTTTAAAAAATCATGCCAAGTTGTCTCAATTTTTTAAATTTCCTGAAGTTCACAGATCCTTCGGTTCACAATTATGTAGACACTGTAACTCCTAATTTAAAGAGCTTTGGTTGGACCCTTAACCCTTTAATCCTCCTCAGATACCCTATGCAAGAGCCAGAAATGTTTCATATGCTCTGAAAGTTGACAGATTTGCTTCAGCATTAACTACTGATCACCTCTTTCCCTAAAGGAGGTGAGGTGGCTTCTGCTAACTCCTATATGTGTATCCAAAATATTCTATGTGGGGCCTCAGAGATAACCCTAAACATAAATTTTGCTGGGATTTCTGCAGACACAATGCTATTTATTAACCACTGTTTCCAGTATTGCTGGTACCGCCCTATTCAAAGATGGGAATCTGGGGCTGAAAATGTTTAAGTAGCTCACTCTGACACCACGTAAATAAGTGACTGGTAGAACCAGAACTCAAACCCGGTTTCACGTCCTAAGAGAGTGGTAACAACTATTAGGTTTCAGCAAGTCGAGCTCAGCACAGCAAATGAACACATCATAATTCTTAAAGTTTGTTCACACCCAAAGCCTGGCTACTTGCTGACAGGTATCAAGTCCTTGGAACTGACTTAGAAAAAATCTGCTATCACTGAGGAAATGGAACAATAATA